TGGCTATTCTTTGGAACTCTGCATTCAAATGGGAATATCTTTCCTTTTCTCCTTTGCTTTTCACTTCTCTTCTTTTCACAGCTATTTGTAAGGCCTCCTCAGACAACCATTTTGCCTTTTTGCATTTCTTTTCCATGGGGATGGTCTTGATCCCTGTCTCCTGTACAATGTCACGAACCTCCGTCCATAGTTCATCAGGCTCTCTGTCTATCAGATCTAGTCCCTTCAATCTATTTCTCACTTCCACTGTATAGTCACAAGGGATTTGATTTAGGTCATACCTGAATGGTCTAGTTGTTTTCCCTACTTTCTTCAATTTAAGTCTGAATTTGGCAATAAGGAATTCATGATCTGAGCCACAGTCTGCTCCTGGTCTTGTTTTTGCTGACTGTATAGAGCTTCTCCATATTTGGCTGCAAAGAATATAATCAATCTGATTTTGGTGTTGACCATCTGGTGATGTCCATGTGTAGAGTCTTCTCTTGTGTTGTTGGAAGAGGGTGTTTGCTATGATGAGTGCATTCTCTTGGCAAAACTCTATTAGCCTTTGCCCTGCTTCATTCCGTACTCCAAGGCCAACAGTTTTGTTTAAAAGAAGAGAGAAGCAAAGTGCTGGCCACGTGAGGCATTTGTGAACTCTTGCATCCAATCTGCCCCAGATCGAAGTATCTAAGACATAAAGACACATTCTAAGACATAAAGCTTTGGATCTCAGTCATCCTAACCCAAAAAAAACAGAAGAGCGTTCACCTTGGCAGCACATATACAAAAACTGGAACAACGCAGAGATCAGCACAGCCCCCACACAAGGACGGCTTGTGAAGGCTTCCATATTTGTTAAAATATTTATTTTTAATTGATAAGTCTTCCATATTTTTAAGGATAAAACAATGAAGCAACAAGAAGAGGCAAGGCTGTGGCTCTGCCCACAGCTGTTTCTTTGCTTTCCCTCCTTCACCCTGCCATTTCTCAGGAGGCTGCCGATTCTATACCCATTCAACTGACTGCACCTGCCCCCTGGTCCTCCTTTAATGGGCATGTTTAAGGTTGGGCAGCAGGTGCTTAGCTGGAGTTGCTGTAAAGTCTTAATGAAGGCTTTGGGCGGCTGTCCTAACCTTCCATGGGGCTCTGCCCACCTGCCGGGAAGGAAGCCCTGGGACCAGCACGCTCTTATCACAGGAGCCTCATGGAAGGGATGGATTACCAGCCGTATGCAAAGCAGCCTCTGCCACATCTTTGCCATTTTCTTTTTTTCCCTGTGGACCGCTGTCAATTCTTGTCTTCCCCCATTCCATCCCACCCACACCCAACCCCGTTGTTACAATGTTAGGAACAAATGTAGGGCCTCAGCTGAGAACTGCAGAAGTTGGAGTCACACCCATCTTTCACACCTTTTCTCCTTCTCCAGTCCTTTTTTTCTGTTCACTTTCATTGCCTCACTTTTCTGTTCAGTGACTTTTTATACCATGTTTGTTCCTAAAGTGGAAGCCACCTGAAGTCCTTTTGGGAATGAGGCAAATGCTTTTAAAAATTAGGAAAACATTAGCTTTCAAAGAACTCTCAAATTCATTTATCAGCAAATTAGTGAAGGCGTACTTTCTGTATGTTCTTTTAAGGGTAAAACAAAAAAGTAACAGAAATGCAAAACACTGCCCCTAGCGAGAGGAAACCTATTCAAACAGCAACCAAAACACTGGAAATAAGAATTTCTCCCTACCAAAAATAAGCTCCCAACTCCACATGTCTGTACAAAGAAAAATATTGAGGAGAGCCTGTAATAAATTGCTCACTAATGAGAACCTACTGTATAGAACAGGGAAGTTACTCAATTCTCTGTGGGGACTTAAATGGGAAGGAAATCCAAAAAAGAGGAGATATGTGTATACAGGTAGCTGATTCACTATGCTGTGTTAGCAGAAACTAACACAACATCATAAAGCAACAATACTCCAATAAAAATGTTAAAAATTAAATGCTCAGCAGAAAAAGAAAGGGGAGGTAATTGTCTTCTGCGTGGGGCACAGTGGCGTGGGTAAGGTGCCCCTTGTGCCTTGAACCATTTTGGCAGCAAACTGATGGGAAGCCAGCATCTTTGAAACATGAAAGCAGACTTGTTGGCTGAGAGGATGGGCCTTATTTGTCAGATAATACATGGATGGTCCCTGCGGTGAAAGTGACCCCCAAGGAGCTATTTCACAGCCCAACCCCAGAACTTGCCCATGGGACCTTTATTTGGAGAAAGAGTCTCTGCAGATGTCACTGGGGATCCTGAGATGAAGTTGCCCTGCATTTCCCAGACAGGCTGTCACCACACTGACACGTGTCCTCATGAGAGACTCATGGAGGAGAAGCACGCGGGAAGAAGGGCCTGTGGGATGAGGCAGAGGCCTGGGTGATGTGGAGCTGGTGGGGGAACCTGGGGTGGGGTGGGGCGGGGCGCAGCGGCCTGAGCGGACCTTCGGTCCACTGTCCCTGTGTGGCCTCCTCCACCGAGGCCGTGCACATCCTCGACATCAGTAGCATTGTCAGCGGGGCTGGGGCACCACCTGTTCAAACACAAGGTGGTTCTGAGACCCCCTATCGGTGTTAACCATCTGTGGTCCTCCTGATGTCATGGCTAATGGACTCCAACAGTCAGCTTCCTCATGTAGAAAGGGAATACTCCTCACTGTTTACAGGGACAAGCTTCAGGGCTGGATGCTTCTGCGTCTCCTCTAAATACAACTCTTTGCAGGAAGATGCAGGTGTCTTAGAGACTCTGGGTCCTACTGGCCAGGTGTGTCTATCAAGGGTGGTCATGTGATTTCCTTCCCCTCTACAAATAGGAAAAATAACTCCACCTGAGTAGGCAGGATTTGGACTGATTTGGCTTTGCTTTGTTTTATTTTTCAGGCCAGGCTTCGAATGCCAAAAGAGCAACTGGAACTTTTAAAGTGAGTGAGATGTTCTCGTGTGTGTGACTTTTTGGTGTCTGTCCAAACACTGTAATGCTTTTGTAAAATTATAAAACTAATTTCTGCTTCTGTGGATCCTTCTTGAAGGGAACATACACTGGGAGGTGCTTTCAGTATTATTATTTTTTTAATGGGATAAAATTAGGAAAATAGACCAGGGTTTAAATACCTGGAATGGAGAATTATGAAGCCATTAAAATAATTTAAAAATACTAGTGGGACACAAAATTATTTTATTATTTAGTACAACTTTTTTGCCTGGGATAAAAACTTTTAGAAAACCTATTAACAGTTTCTATTTCTTCAGCAGTTTTGCATTTTTCAAATTATGAACATAGATTGATTCATAAGTTTTTGCTTTTTTGTATTTTTCAGTCACTAAGTCATGTCTGACTGTTTGCAACCCCATGGACTGTAGCCCACCAGGCTCCTCTGTCCATGGGATTTCCCAGGCAAAAATGCTAGAACGAGCTGTCTCTTCCTTCTCCCGGGGATCTTCCCGACCTAAGGATTGAACCTGCATCCCCTGCATTGCAGGCAGATTCTTTACCACTGAGCCGTGAGGGAAGCCCATGTCATAGGGGAAAGAAGTGGCTTCCCTGCTAAAGGGAAGGCCAGCGGTAAAGAATCTGCCTGCTAATGCAGGAGACACAGGTTCAATCCCTGGATGGAGAAGATCCCCTGGAGGAGGAAAGGACAACCCACTGTAATGTTCTTGCCTGGAAACTCCCATGGACAAAAGAGCCTGGCGGCTACAATCCATGGTCACAAAGAATCAGACACAACTTAGTGACCACACACACACACACACACACTCACTAAGTATTAATAGTACTTACATTTTTTCAACATAAAGAAACACCCATTGGTTTGAGATTTTCTTATTCTCTCTACCAGTAACTTTCAGACTGTACAAGTAGCAGAGCCGATTCTTGGGAAGTAAAATCTTGCACCCTTGAGCTGGTGGAAGGCAGTTGCCCCGTCCCCACCTCTCTCCCCTAAGCCCCCACCCCTGGCCCCCTGAATCTTTCAGTCACTCGTCTCTAAAGGCTGGTTCACAGAATTTCAGAGCTTGGTTGGGATCCCCCTGCTCCTGCTCCGTACCCAACTCAGAGTGCAAGGTGTCCTGACCGTGAGGCAGTGGGGAGGGGGATTTAGGGCACTGTGAAGTTGCCCAGCTCAAGTCGGCGTGGCCTCGATCCCCGCGGGAGGACTGGGATAAGTGAAGTCCTCTGAGCCCCCTCCCTGCACAGAGCGCAGCCCAAGCCTGCGATGCCCTCAGGAGTGCTTCCTGGAATGTCTTTGCTGCTCATACACAGCGCAGTGCAGTTCTCTAGAAAAGGGGGTATCGCCTGGGCACCCCTCACTCAGGGTTCTCTCTTCTGCAATGTAAAGCATCCTTTGGTTTTGCTGGCCCTGAAGCCCAGCATGGGGCGGGGGGGCATCCACTGCTTCCTCCTTTCACTGTGAAGGTCTCCATTCACAGGAAAGAGAGCCAGACTTTGGAAAACAACTTCCGGGAAATTCTCTTTTTAATTGAACAAATAGATGCTCTGAAGGCATTGCTTAGAGACACACGCGATGGTCTGCACAATCACAGCTGGAATGCCAACGGAGACTCTGCTGAAGGCTGGAACCACACCGAGATCATCGATGAGGTAAGTGAGCCTGGGACGGAGGCAGGGGCTTGTCCACTTTCAGAAAGTGGACAACTTATGTGATGAGGAAACGTAATGATGACTGGGATGTGTGGTCTGTCTGCTTCTTGAAAATTCCTTTTCTACGTTAGCTTGTAAAGTGAAGTGTTAGTTGTTCAGTCATGTTCAGACCCCTTGGACTGCAACCCGCCAGACTCCTCTGTCCTCAGAATTTTCCAGGCAAGAATACTGGAGTGGCTAGCCATTCCCTTCGACACAGGATCCTGCCGACCCAGGGGTCAAACCTGGGTCTCCTACACTGCAGGCAGACTCTTTACCATCTGAGCCACCAGGGAAGCCCCTACTTTACTTTTACTAAAGCTCACCCTTTGGAAGCACACTTTTTCATAATTGCTGTGTCACAGGGAAAATTTTGTATTGCAGTAAGACAGACTTCCATCCAAATAAGTAAATGACTCTATTTTAGTTTGCAGTAAAAAAAAAAAAAAAAAAAAAGACTGCTCATTCACAAATGGCAGTCTCTGAAAGTTTATACACAGATACTTAAATAGTAAAATATTTTTATTCAGGGACCTAACGCTAGTGTATCTGACCTAGTGAGCACCAGATCAGGCAACATGATGATGAAGACCAAGAGCCTGGTTTTACTTCTCCTTCTGTTAGCACTGGCTTCGTTTCTTTTTCCTGAGATTCTGTTTTATGAAATACACATACTGCTGACACTGACCACCACTGCCTCCAAGCCCCCATCCTCACGGCCCTGGGACAAAGTGCTTTGTCATTTAGAACTCAAACTGTTACATTCTCTCAGGATGCTTGCTTTCTTAAACTCAGAACATCCTTATAACACAATATTGATTTAAAAGATGAGTAATTTCTAACGCAAGCAATCGGGTGCTCTGTGTAAACTGCCTCGATTCCCAAACACCTACAGAGCGTTCCAGTCTTTATTACTAAGCAGGACACTGAAAGGGGGCCCCCGCGGGTCGCGCACACAACCTCACTGGGCTGTTCCACTGTGTGAGCATTTCGGGGTGCTCGTCAGGGGAATGACATCCAGCCGTCCTCCATGGCCTTGGCAAATGGCCCAACACCTCTCAGCTCCCTGTGAAACACGGATCCCACGGATCTGCGGAGGTGATAGGAAGAACCTGTGTGTGTTTGGCAGATTAGCAAACATAATCAATATAGTCAGTTGTCAAGACTCAAGAAGTTGATGGAGATTGTTAACAGGAAACTCTTTTTACAATTTGTACAGGAAATGTCCAACTTGGTGAATTACATACTGAAAAAGCTGAGAGAAGATCAAGTCCAGATGGCTGATTATGCCCTTAAGTCAGCAGGTGAGTAAAGAAATGTTAAGCTCGGTGTAAAAAGTCAGGACTTCAGAACGATCTCTGTTCACTAGTGTCTGTGAAGAGGACCACAGACAAAGCCTGCCTGCCACAGCAGGTTTAGGTGTGCATCACAAACTTCGTTGCATTTTGTCTTCTACATACAAAAATGACTACTCATGACTAGTCTCAATGCACCATTAGTGATTAAGTGATAGTGTCTCAAGACTGTCTGTAATGTCCTTTAAAAAAATTTTTTTTTCTTTTATTTTGGTCTGCACTGGGTCTCTGCTGCTGGGCCAACTTTTCTCTAGCTGCGGTGGGCGGGGACTGCCCTGTGCGGTGCGTGGGCTTCTCCTTCCGTCGGTGTCTCTTGTCGAGGAGCACAGTCGCTAGCCTGCGGGCGCTTCAGTAATTGCGGCACATGGGCTCAGAAGCTGTGCACGGGCTTAGTTGCTCTGTGACTTGCGAACCTGGACCCCCGGCCTCAGGAGTGCAGTCTTAGCCGCTGGACTGCCAGGGAAGTCCCCAATGGGGTTTTAATACATGTAGATGTGACGACTCTTGAGGAAGGGTCAATGGGTGAGGTTAAAGTGACCTCTGTGGTTATAAAATTTTGAATTTTACACAAATTGGTAAGATATTAAGTGTAAATTGACGTTGAAAAGTTAGTTATGTGTATTAATATTGCCAGAGCAATCACTAAAAAGAACACAAAGTATGTATAGAGGGAACTTACCTCAACATAGTAAAGGCATATATGAGAAGCCCATAGCTAACATCAGAGTCAGTGTGAAAAGCTGAACGCTTTTCCTCTCAGATCGGGGTCTGGACAAGGATGCCCACTCTTACTACTTTTGTTCAGCATCATATTGAAAATCCCAGCCATAGCAATCAGAGAGGAAAAGAATTAAAAGGCATCCAAATGGAAGAAAAGTAAAACTATCACATTTGCAGATGACATGATACCATATATAACCATAAAGACTCTGCCAAATAATTATTATTTATATAGAGATCTACATACAGATTTACATAGCAAATCATCAAAACTCTATTAGAACTAATAAGTGAAATTAGTAAGTTCAAATGTATATATTTCATTTTTAAATGCTCATGATCAGAAATTGGAAAAAGAAAATTTAAAAGCAGTCCTATTCACAATGACAGTGAAAGACATGAAATTCTTGGGTATAAATTTAATAAAATTTTCATAGGATCTATGTGCTAAAAACTGGACAGATGAACAAACAAAACCCACAAATGGAAGAAATAACAGAAGACCTAAATGCTGAACAGAGCTTCCATGTTTGTGGATTAAAAGTTTCAATATTTTTAAGATGGAAATTCTAACTAGTTTATTGATTCAATACAGTCCCAATCAAAATCCCAGCACAATTGTTTGTAGAAGTCTATGAACTCTTTCTAAAATAGCTGAAGCAGTTTTGAAACAAGAACAAATTTGGAGGACTTACTGATGTTAAGCTGCAATATTATAAAGCTACAATAATGAGAGTGTGAAATCAATGGAACATAATAGAAAGCCTGGAAATAATGCCACACTAATTAACTTTTGACAGTGGGGAAAAAGCAAGTTGATGGTGCTCAAAGAGTTGGACATACAGTTCCAAAAGGAAAAGAATGGATAATTTGGGCTTCATCCAAATTTAAAGCTTCTGCTCGGCAAGAAGACATTGAAAAAAATGAAAAGACAAGTCATGGGCTGGGAGACAGTATTACAAACCACACAGTTGACAAAGGACTTTTATCCAGAATTTATAAACACTCTCAAACTTCACTATTGCAAATCCTGCCTTCTCAGAAAAAGCACTGGTGATTTGATATTCACTCATGTTTGTGTTTTTTTGCTGTATTTTGTTACCCATATGGAATTTAAGAAAGTGATTTGCATTTTTTTCTTATGTATAAAACACCTTTTACTTCTAAAATGAAGTAATTTGAAGAGATAATATTTAATGAGTATATTTTATATTTCTTTGATTAAAATTAAAGCTCAATGAATCTAAAGAAAGGCTATTATAAACACAACTTGTTAGTATATTTACGACACTGTTGGTTTTTCTGCTTTTGTTTTTGAGTGAATCGGGCTTATTTATCACACAAGGTGTTAAAATGTGGGGATCCATATGTTTCTTTAGGTAATAAACACAATCCACCTAATAGTTCCATGTCTAAATCAACGGCTCCAGATTTCATTTTTTTTATCATAATGTTAGTTCCAGAAATTTTGTGAAACCACAGAACAAACATGATTTTCTCAAAGTGACAAGATTTCAGTGGTAATGAAAGCTGAAAATCATACTTTTACCACCAATTTCCTGGTATGAGTTTTACCTGTTTGTAAGTTGCCCAGTAATAGTTTTCCAACAACATTAAAATCTAAATGGTGCTTTGAATTGTGTGTTTTTTTTATTTAAAAAATTATTTTATCATATCAGGAGCCTCTGTTGTTGAAGCTGGGACCTCAGAAAGTTACAAAAATAATAAAGCAAAACTGTACTGGCATGGGATTGTCTTCTTAAATTATGAAATGCCTCCGGACATCATTCTCCAGGTAAAAGTTAGATTAAAAATAACCTGTTTATATTTTAGGATCTTGTTCCTATTATTTATCACGAAAATATTAATGTCTGAAAGAGATGCAGCTCTGAACTTGTCAGAGAACCTGAAGCCATCTCCTTGCATTTTTATAGTCATCAAAATACATTATTTCTTATTTCATGGGCAGAAAACTATGATTAGCTAATTGATTACCATTTTAAGATCCGTGAACTAGACTATGTACTTCTCAAATAGGACGTACATGTTCTGTATCTTCTCTTAAAGCTGATCCTGTAGTCTTCCTTTTCCACCAAGAACTTCAGTCACTTGGCAAATATTTGTTGAAGGTGCATGACCCCTGAGTGCAAGTACTGTGCTGTGTGCTATTCAGGTCAACACATTTTTATAAAGTCCAATTTTAACAGTAGAAATTTCCAAGTAAGATCTTCATTAACATTTCAGTTCAGTTCAAAAGGCACTTGATTCCAACCAACAGTAGAGCTCTTAACCGTAATTACACACCTGGATTTATTCCCCATTCAGAAATACCTTCGGGGCGGACCTATAACTCTCAGTCCAGAGTACAGTCTAGATCCAGAAAACAGTGGGCATCATGTTTCTGCCTTAGCACCAGTGCCAGCATTGCTGTCACCACCATTATCATCTCTATCATCTCTATTATCATAATCACCAACATTACAACCACCATCACCACCATTGCCACCATCATCACCAACCACCACCACCATCATCATCACCCATCACCACCACCATCACCACTACTATCACCACCACTATCACTAACCATCACCACCATCATCATCACCCATCACCACCACCATTACCACTACTATTAGCACCACTATCACCAACCATCACCACCATCATCATCACCCATCACCACCACCATCACCACTACTATTACCACCACTATCACCAACCATCACCACCATCATCATCACCCATCACCACCACCATTACCACTACTATTAGCACCACTATCACCTACCATCACTACCAGCACCACTATCACCAACCATCACAACCACCATCACCACCAACTATCACCACCACTATCACCACCATCACCCACCACCATCACCAACCACAACCATCATCATCATCGCCCATCACCACCACCATCACCACTACTATCACCACCACTGTCACCACCATCACCCACCACCATCATCACCAACCACCACTATCATCATCATCACCCATCACCACCACCATCACCATCACTAGCACCACCATCACCACTACTATTATCAACACTGTCACTTACCATCACCACTACCACCAGCACCACTACCACCACCATCACCACCACCATCATCACCAACTATCACCATCATCATAATCACCCATCACCACCACCATCACATTAACCATCATCACCATCCCCTGACGTCATCATCACCACAATAATTGCCACCACCCTCTTCATTACCACCACCAGCACTATCTTCATCAGTGCTATCACCATTCATAGCAACCAGCTGCATCTAGCAGCTTACAGTCTTAATTAGAGCAACAGAAGGAAACATACACATGAAATAAAGGTTCTGATTGACCTCAGCACACCTGTGGGAATCTGGAAGCTTTCCTGTTTGGTACATCTCACACCGTGCCTTCGTATCATAGGCATAAGCGAGATCTACAGTCCATAGTGACTAGCTGGCCAACCTTGTAGGAGCGGGTTTATATAAGCACGTCAGGGACTGATGCAGCGTTTCCTTTCCAGCCAGATGTCCACCCTGGGAAGTGCTGGGCCTTTCCGGGTTCCCAGGGTCATGCCCTGATCAAGCTCGCCAGGAAGATCGTGCCAACTGCTGTCACCATGGAGCACATCTCAGAGAAGGTGTCCCCCTCAGGAAACACCTCCAGCGCACCCAAGGAGTTTTCTGTCTATGTGAGAAACTGTCTAAATCTTCCTTCAGAAGGGGTTACAGGAGGTGGTCAGCTAGGAATTGGGAGCCAGGGTCTCATCTGAACTGTGCAGCTAAACATTCCTATCACTGTGCTTTACTTCCAGTATCTCAGCTTTGTCATCTACAAAGTGAGAGGGTTGGACCAGATGATTACTACTACTTAATGCTATTTTTAAAAACTTTATCCAAGTTATGCGTGTGCAGTTCCCATCATTGATAATGAAACGTGATTTTCCCTTGTCCCACTTCTCCCACCAATTTTTACTCCCTGGAAGCTTTCACTTGCCAGAGTTTGAGCTGCTCATGTGGTTACTGCCTTCATATTTGCTTTTACTGTCATTCCTTGATTTTTCAGTTTTGATTGTTACTATTGACTTCCTTGAATGGAAAATGGAGATTAGTTCTCTTCCATGCCTCTCTCAATTCTCCCAAAATGTTTATGTCTTAACTTAAAAAAAAAACAAAACAGGTGTGTTGAGATATAATTCACACATCAGCAATTCAGTCGGGTAAAGTGTACACTTAGTAACTCTTGGTATATTCACAGAGTTGTTTAACCATGATCATGATCAATTTTAGAGTATTTTTACTGTTCTCCAGAGAAACCCTGCACCCCTTAGCTGTCGCTTCTCATCCCCCAGCCACTGACCACCACTAACCTATTTTGCATCCATAGATTTGCCTCTTTCAGGTGTTGCTGTTGTCGTTTAGTCTCTAAGCCATGTCTGACCCTTTGCACCCTTTGGACTGCAGCCTGCCAGGCTTCTCTGTCCATGGGACTCTCCAGGCAAGAATACTGCTCCAATACTGGAGTGGGTTGCCATTTCCTTCTCCAGGGGATCTTCCCAATCCAGGGATAGATCCCCTCTCTTCTGCTTAGCAGGCAGATTCTTTACCACTGAGCCACCTGGGAAGCCCTATTTTGGATAGTTCCTATAAAATGGAATCATATTCTATGTGAATGGTTTTTGTGAATGGCTTGTTTCACTCAGCATAATGTTTTCAAGGTCTATGTGTGCTAGAATGTATCAATATTTCATTTTTAATTGCTTAATAATATTTTATTATATGGATAGACCCCTTTTTATTTATCCATTCAGCAGTTGCTGGACATCTGAGTGGATCCCACTCTTTTGACTGTTATGAACAATGAACAATGTTGCTATGAGGCGCTGTGTACAGTTTTCTGGGGACCTTGGTTTTCATTTCTCTTGGGTTTGTGCCTCGGAGCAGTTTCTAGATCACGTGATAAATCTATGTTTCATGTGTGAGACACTGCCAGATGGTATACCTCAGCTTCCATACACATCCAGTGTGTTCATTGTGACTCTGTGAACAGTATTGTTCTTAGCTGAGTCGTGCAATGCCCTTGAATACATTTTCTTTTTTAAAACCTTTTTATTTTGTATTGGGGTATAGCCTATTAATAATGTGATAGTTCCAAGTGAGCAGCAAAGGGACTCAGCCAACATATACACGTATCCATTCTCCCTAAACTCCCCTCCCAACCAGGCTGCCACATGACATACAGCAGAGTCCTATGAGCTCTACAGTGGATCCTTGTTGGTTATCCACTTTAAATATATCAGTGTGTACGTATCCATCCCAAACTCCATAACTATCCCTTCCCCACATCCTTCCCAGGGATCGAACCCATGTCCCCTGCGTTGCAACGCAGACTCTTCACCACTAGACCCACCAGGGACGTTCCTTTATTTTTTAAAGATATCCCTCGGGAGCATTCTGCTCACATCTCTTCCAAACTGGTGCCTGGTCAGGCCTGATGCACAACTGTTATCAGGGGATTTCAGCTCCACTCTCTGAGGATTTGACTTGTTTTAAATCTATTGTGTTAAAAATGTTTTTAGTCTTACGTTTCTTCTTTGATTTTCTGTTTTACTGTTTGGAATATCTAATCAATTTGTATTTTAAACCTTATGCTGAATTTTAAAATTCTGCTGTCATGAATATTCTAGGATTTTTTTTGCAAATGATCCCTTTTCTAGAATCTAAATATCTTCCTTCATGGTTGCAATACCTTCCCTCCAACGTCTGAAGATATGAGCAGATGTAGTTTTGTTCCATGCTTTCAGTTCCTGCACATACTCCCAAGTACCTCCCTTCCTGTTTATAATATGGGCTTCATCTTCCTTGCTAAGTGCTTTTCTCGTGGTTTGGTGATGCTTCTCTGTCTCACTTAAGAGCTGAACAGTCAAAAGCGGGCTTTTTCTGCACACATTTACGGGCAAGTTGACAGCAAGCGTCACAGCTAGATGGTCTGGTTGGAGACCCCAGAGTATGGTTTCTAGAAGGGTGACCCCAGGAATCCTACAGCCTTGTGCCCAGGGGTTTTCAGCTCAGCTCACACCCTGGGTCATGATAGGTTCCTCCTTCCCCTCTTATTTCTGCAGGATGCTCTTGAGGTCAGTTGTCCTGGAGGTGGGAAGAAGAGACAATTCTTTTCTGGACCAGGACAGGAGTACTGGCTGGGCTCTAACTGCTCCTTAAAAGGACCATCAGAGGAACTTCTAGTAGTACAGTGGGTGGGAGTCTGCCTGCCAATGCAGGGGACGCGGGTTCAATCCCTGGTCTGGGAAGATTCCACCTGCCGAGGGCAGCTAGAGCCGGTGCACCACAGCTACTGAAGCCTGTGTGCCTGGAGCCTGCGCCCTGCAACAGGAGACGCAGCCGCCGTGAGAAGCCCGTGCGCAGAGACTGGAGGGTCGCTCCCGCTCACCGCAACTAGAGAAAGCTCGCACACAGAGGAGACCCGGTGCGATGAAAACTTAATCACTTTAAAAAAGATCGTCAGCCCACCCTCAGATGAGGGGACTCCCAGCTTCATGCTTGGCCTGCACACCGTGGCCCCACCTCTGGCCCTTTCTGGCCTTTCTGGCAGCACCAGCTCCAGCTCGCTGCTGGTTGCCCCTGCAGCCCGAGGAAACTGAGCTTCCTCCAGGCCAGTGCACCAGCTGCCATTCGGCGCCTCCAGATGCTTTTCGGGTCTGCTCCCGTGTTTTCCTCAGAGGTTTATGCCTTACTCCGTCCCCTCTGGGTTCCGCTCTGAAGGGGGTTCAGAGTTAAACATGGTGCTTAGCCTGCTTTTCACTTTCATGCATTGGAGAAGGAAATGGCAACCCACTCCAGTGTTCTTGCCTGGAGAATCCCAGGGGCGGAGGAGCCTGGCGGGCTGCCGTCTGTGGGGTCACACGGAGTCGGACACGACTGAAGCGACTTAGGAGCAGCAGCAGCCTGCCTTGTGTGTTGTTTGAACACCTTTATTTGCTGTGAGTCTAGAGTTATAAACACAGACTGCTGTCCTTTCAGTGTCTACAGACACTTGTAGTGCAGTTACACTCGATTAGAGCAGATCGAACCCTGTCTCAAAAAAGTGCACACAGTTGCTCATTAGGAATTATGAGTGAATCCTTCAGGCAAGAATCCTTTAAGAAATAGACCATATTTTAAAAATGAAAAAAAAATCTTTTTAGTAATACAAAATACTTCTCATTGTTTTTCTCAATATTAGCACATTTATGAACCAAGTGAAATTAAAACAGGATCATAAAGAAGGTTTGAAATAAAACTGGCATGCCTGTCTGAACAGGCTAAAGGAACTATATGAGATTATATATATGGCAAATATGAAATATGTATGTTTATATATGTCAATATATAGAGACATTACTTTGCCAACAAAGGTCTGTCTAGTCAAGGCTGTGGTTTTTCCAGTGGTCATGCATGGATGTGAGAGTTGGACTCTAAAGAAAGCTGAGCACAGAAGAACTGATGCTTCTGAACTGTGGTATTGGAGAAGACTCTTGAGAGTCCCTTGGACTGCAAGGAGATCCAACCAGTCCATCCTAAAGCAGATCAGTCCTGGGTGTTCATTGGAAGGACTGATGCTGAAGCTGAAACTCCAATACTTTGGCCACCTCATGCGAAGAGTTGACTCAGTGGAAAAGACCCTGATGCTGGGAGGGATTGGGGGCAGGAGGAGAAGGGGACGACAGAGGATGAGATGGCTGGATGGCATCACCGACTCCATGGACATGAGTTTGAGTAAGCTCCGGTAGTTGATGACAGACAGGGAGGCCTGGCGTGCTGCGATTCATGGGGTCGCAAAGAGTCAGACACAACTGAGCGACTGAACTGAACTGAGCTGATATAGATGAAAAGTATATATAACTGTGGGGGCATTATTTAATCATGATGTATCCAATTCTTTTATTATCTATTTATTTTTGGCTGTGCTGGGCCTTCCCGGCTGTGTGTGGGCTTTCTCTAGTTGCAATAAGCAGGAGCTATCTCTGTTGCGGAAAGTGGGCTCTGGGCTCCCGGGCTTCAGTAGCCGTGCACATAGGCTTAGAGCTGCGACTCGCAAGCTCTGGAGCGAGGACTCAGTAGTTGTGGCCCACAGGCTTCGTTGCCCTGTGGCGTGTGGGGTCTTCTCAGATCAGGAACCAAACCCACATCTCCTGCATTGGCAGGCAGATTCTTCACCACTGGATAACCAGGGAAGTCCCAGTTCTACAAAATGACTCATAGTTTAAATATTATGATTTTCATTACAAAATGATTGAGCTCATGAAACTTTATTTTTTGTTGTGGTGCTATGATTCAAAGAATCTAACCATAAATTTTAGATTTACAAGATAAATTAATTTCCACCAGTGTGCCCTCTCTCCTCAAAAATCTTCAGTTTTAAAGTGGAGAAAAGGAAGGTCAAAAGCCCAAGGGAAATTGCATACACATATCAACAAAAGCTTACTTTTTGGATGGAGCTACTTGTGTGATCAAAGTTCAGCAAATTGGTGAAGTTTAATGCATTGCGGGTCGATGTGGGGGCTCCTTTTTTGGTTTATTTTACCCAAAGCACAGTAAACACAGTTCGGAGGTCAGAGTCAGTGCTGACACGTGCTGTCGTCTGTCTCTGCATCCTGTCTGTCTGTCTCTCCGCCTTAGTCCGTTCAGCCCTCTGGTTAGGCTGGTTCTTGCCGCACAGTCCTCCCCCCACACATGCCCAGTGCTGACAGGCAGCGCGGCACTGTGTCCCTGGTGGACACCCAGAGATGTCTGGGGAATTGTTTCTCAAACAGACAACTGACTCCGTTTATTTTAACCAAACACACTTTCATTACAACCTCCGTGTCTGTTGCTTTCTTTACAGGGCATCTTGAAACAATGTGAAGGAGAAGAAATTTTTCTAGGTCAGTTTGTGTATAACAAAACAGGGACCACCGTTCAAACATTTGCACTCCAGGTAATGAGAGCCTTGGGAGAAGGGGCGGTATCCGTGGCTCCATCCCCAGGAGGGATGTGTGGGGTTGCTTCATGTAAAGTGGTGTGTGAGAATAATTGTGACAAAAATGTGAGATAAGCAGGCCTTGTCTGAATTCCTGTTCATAAGTTTTAATGCAAAAAAAATAGGCAAATATAACACAAAAGTTGTTTCCAAGACAAATTTTTTTATTATTTGCTATCACTTTTATATATACACACACAAACTCTTCTTCAGTCCTTATTTATCAGATTCCCTTGATAATATTTAATGTGACAGTCACTATCTTCCTCCTTGGTTAGAGGGAGTGGGGATGATGGTACAAAATGAGATGACTGGAGGCAGAGAGGAATTCAGAGAGAAAAAATATTTCATACCAGACAATAACAACTTCTTAGCCTAACTCAAAGGGGAAAGAATGCCAGTTGGTAACTTATAAATCCCTAAAAGTCATTAGGCATAAGAAATGTATTTCATTAGTTCTCATTAGTCACAGGAACTAATGAAAAGATGTCGAAGGCATCTCAAGCCATGTAAACAAGAATTGTGTTACACTTCTTGGCCAGTGGTGAGAAAATCTAAGCTGAAAACAATTTATGAATTGATTGCCCTTACAATTCAGAAATGAATGCTCTTACAGAGTTTCACATTCATCTGTACATCCACATCTCTCCCTGCCCCCTCCCTGGGGCAGCCAGTCAGGACCATCATGGAGGCAGGAGAAGGCAGTGAGGGGTCCCTGGTGTCTAGACCACCATGCTATCTGCCTTCCCTGTGTCTGCCTTTTTATCAGCTCTTTCCTGATGGTAGACCAGGATGTCATCCATTGGTGCTTGAAAGTACTTGAGTTAAGAAGGAAAGAAAGTGTTCTAATTTTTTTTATTATATGAGCATTACTTGAGATCCTTTGACATAGTTCATTTGATAAGACATTAATTTTAATCTTTTCTATTTTTTCAGCATGAAGTTCCTGAATTATTATTATGTGTGAAACTTAAAATTCTCAGCAACTGGGGACACCCAAACTATACTTGTTTATATAGATTCAGAGTTCATGGCACCCAAAGAGATGACAGCTAGAAGAACTGGTGCAGAAGGCCATGATCACAAGTCCAAAATATTCAAGTACTCCAATTCCCTTTGATTATATCACATCCATAGGAATAAAAAATCAGAAGTGGGAGAGAAACCTTAAAGTGGTTCTTACCTGCAGTAAAAAGTGAATGAATTTTACTATTAAAAATATGAAAATAAATTCAATCTCTGCATTAGTGTGGCTTCTGAGGATGAATCATATTGTTGAAGCACTGAAAAATGAGTTCGCATTAAGAAGATGGTAATTCTCAGCACTCTTTCTCATAATAGCATATTTGCTTTCATTTATTCGTTCATCCATACCAGGCATGGATATCTGCTGTTACCACTATTATTTAACACTGATCTGGACACACTCTGTAATTAGAGAATCTAAATAAATTAGAGGTAAAATTTAGGAAGGCCAACCATAATTCATTTGCAGATGACTTGATGAATTCTTTCAAAAGCAATAAAATCAATGAAAAAATACATTATAAACAAAGATGGATACAAAATTATCATATATAAATCAAAATCACAAATATAAACCACAACCAGTAAGAGGATATAATTCACAAAAGCCTCAATGGAAATTTTTAAAAAATCAAATGAAAGAAACTGTGTGAAGAGCCAATAAAACAGCAATGGATAATGAAAAGACCTAAAAAAATGGAAAGACATAGCCTGTCTATGGATACAAAAACTTCACTGTCAAGAAGTCGATTCTGTCTAAATTGATCCACAAATTCAGTTAAATTTTAATTACAACCCAGAAAAAAAATTATTGTATTTAGGCCATATGTGAGGGCTTGTAGACTGCCTCAAACAGTGACAGGATTTCAGAGGCCTGTTTCGTATCTTTATTAGGTGAGAAGCCACCTTTCTTTCCATGTTGCCTGGTGAACGTGCCCCACGGAGAATGCATAGTGGGAGCCCATGTGTATATCAGCCAGGAGGTGGGCTCTTGTCACAGCAGTGATTTCTGCCTTCTGAGCTGAGCTCCCTGGGGGCAGGGCTTTTGCTTTGATAATCCCTTTAAGTGTTACCACTGCATACCCAGGATCTTCCCTGGTAGCTCAGCTGGTGAAAAATACGCCTGCGATGCAGGAGATCACAGTTCGATTCCTGGGTTGGGAAGATACCCTGGAGGAGGACATGAGTTTGAATTAACACCCTAAAGCTTATACCCTATCTCTCATGTACATAGAGTTTGAGATGCTTTTTAAAGTCTGAGAGTGCCAAAGCTGGGGCTGAGACTAACTTTAACATTTTTATTGGTTTAGAGACTGTTTGGCACTCTTAAGTCTGAAACGAGTTCAAGATCGCGTCCCTTCAATGCCCCTTAGCGGGGCTGCACTATGAACCCATAGTTTGGGATCTAAATCCGACAGAACCCTGCCATTTCCAGAAACCCTCTCAGTTGTCTGTGGGTCTTAGGTGTTTCCAATTCTGCAATTGCTTGCTTCCTGTGAGGCCAAAGACCCCCGCTGTCCTTGAGAGACAGCAAAGCCTAGATACTTGCTCTTTGCCTATCTGGGCCTTTTTCTGGGAGGCCTTATATCCACAACTGGCCAAACAGTTCAGGGTCCTGATGGTATTTTGTACACATTTGTCACTTGTAGGACTCCCTGTGAGCAACTTATACACATATTGGAATAAGAGTCCTTCATCCAATCTTAAATTTCTAAAGTCTCTAGCCAGCATCTCCCCAAACAAGCTAGGGGAATTCTTAAATCCTTGAGGCAGGACTGTCCAGCAATACTGTTGGACTACCTGTGTTTCTGAGTCTTGCTATTCAAAAGTAAATAGATGGCTGTGATTTTTCTGTAATTGGAATGTAGAAGAAAGCATCTTTTAAGTCCAGGACTAAGAACCAGCCATATTCTCCTGGAATAGTTGTAAGCAGGATATATAGCTCATTCAATAATCTATCTGCAATGCAGGAGATCTGGGTTCGATTCCTGGGTCGGGAAGACCCCCTGGAGAAGAAAATGGCAACCTACTCCAGTATTCTTGCCTGGATAATCCCCTGGACAGAGGAGCCTAGCAGGCTACTGTCCATGGGGTCGCAAGAGTCAGACACGACCTAGTGACTCGACCACCATGGATTAGGTCCCACAGGGTATAAGACTTCATTAACAGCCCTCAAATCTTGGACAGACCGATAACTCTGTCGAGTCTGGCTTCTTGACCAGGAGGATTAGGGGTGTTATATGTAGACCTGAAAGGTTTAATCAGCCCTATTTTCAAAAACTTTTCCAGAGTTGGCTGTATTCCCTTTGGGGCTTCTTGTCTCAGAGGATATTGTTTTAGATTAGGTGTCCCAGCATCCCTTTCTGATGGGATTTGTATTGGTCTTGCTTGTTTGGCCTTCAGTGCAGGAGACAAAGGTGATGCAGGTTCAGTCTATGAGTTGGGACAATCTCTTGGAGAAGAAAATGGCAACCCACTCCAGTATTCTTGCCTGAAAATCCCATGGAGAGAGGAGCCTGGCAGGCTACAGGCTAAAAGGGTCACAAAGACTCAGAAACGACTGAGAGACCAGCACAGACAGAGTGCTATCAGCCCACACTTCTGGCCTTACCTTTTCATAGACCTCGGTGGGGAAGAACTCTATCTCCTTCTCTGGGGTTTTCATGAGCATCATTTGTAGGCTCAGCACATGCTCCAGTGGGACCCTGGTGTCAAGCTGTTCTTGGTGGAAAAAGTTACTTGAGCATTAAATTTATAAAGGAGATCTCATCCCCAAGGTGGGGCTAGAACGCTCTGACATATAAGAAATTGTGTTTCAGGCTGAGATCCCCTAATTAGCATTATAGAAGTTGTGAAAGTGAATGGTTTAGTACTTGTCCAGAGCTCCATGACTGGGATACACTGGGATGTTTTCTGTGCCACTGTTGTGTTCACTGCAGAATATGTGGCGCCCGTATCTGTCAGAAAGTCCATCAATTTGTTCCCCACTGGCAAAGTCACCCAGGGCTCCTGTGGGGAAATTAGAATCAGTTGCATCAAGTCTAAGGGAGCCCCTGGGACTTTTCGTTCATTATCAGAGTATTCCCCTCTTTCTACCATGAGAGGCTCCTGTCCTCCTGATATACTTTAGTTTAGGGCAGTCATTTTTCCAGTGCCCACCCTCCTTGCAGGAAGCACACTGCTCCTTCCCCAGTGGTGGTGGCGTGCCTCCTTTGAGGTTATTCGGCTTCTGGGAATCTAATGCTGCTGCCAGAAAGGCTGCCTTCTGGTTTTCATCTTTCTTGCTCCTGCTGTTGTTCCCTGTTGTTGAATACTTTAAAAGCAACATCTGCTAATTGAGAGGGGCTCATTCTAAATACATCATCTAATTTTTGTGATTTTCTTCTTATATCTGGGGCAGTTTGCCCAATAAAGTTCATATTTACCATCCTTACATTCTCAGGGGCCTCAGGGTCTGTATCTAACACCATGCACCTCTTGCTATGATGCAATGAGAAGGTCAGATCATTGCTTTTGTGGTAGTTCCACTAAAAACTAAGACTCATCTTGAACAAACGTGTAGCTTATCAGTTGTGCTTTTGTTTTTTGCTTCCTTCTCTACCTCTCCTGATCTTACACAGTAGTGCCTGTAGTTTGATAAATCCTTTCTGGAAATTCTGATGGATCTTCATTTGGTTTTTGGTTTACCTCCCGGATTTTGTTTAAGCTCCTTTGTCCAGGGTATCCTCCTTTGAATACCCACTAAGATACATCTTGCAGTGTTCTAAAAGAGGCATGCCTCCATTGTTAGGATCCCAGTAAGTTTCCGCAATAGGGACTACCAGATTTTGCTTCTGGAGTTCCATTTACATCCACTAGATGGTGCTGGTGCACTTTCTCGCCAGCCTTGTTCTTGCCCATCCTTTCATTCCTGCTGCTGCTAAGTCACGTCAGTCGTGTCCAACTCTGTGTGACCCCATGGACGGCAGCCCACCAGGCTCCCGTCCCTGGGATTCTCCAGGCAAGAATACTGGAGTGGGCTGCCATTTACTTCTCCACCCTTCATCCCTAGCAAGCATTATATTTATAGAGGTCAATGTCTGCCCAAGTGGAATCAGTTCAGTTCAGTTCATTTCAGTCTCTCAGTCGTGTCCGACTCTTTGAGACCCCATGGACCACAGCTCGCCAGGCCTCCCTGTCCGTCACCAACTCCCAGAGTTTACTTAAACTCATGCCCATTGAGTCAGTGATGCCATCCAACCATCTCATCCTCTGTCGTCCCCTTCTTCTGCCTTCAATCTTTCCCAGCATCAGGGTCTTTTCAAGTGAGTCAGCTCTTCGCATCAGGTGACCAAAGCATTGGAGTTTCAGCTTCAGCATCAGTCTTTCTAATGAATATTCAGGACTGATTTCCTTTAGGACTGACTGGTTTGATCTTCTTGCAGTCCAAGGGACTCTCAAGAGTCTTCTCCAACACCACAGTTCAAAGGCATCATTTCTTCAACACTCAGCTTTCTTTATAGTCCAACTCTCACATCCATACATGACTACTGGAAAAACCATAGCCTTGACTAGATGGACATTGTTGGTATACAGCCTTGACGTACTCCTTTTCCTATTTGGAACCAGTCTGTTGTTCCATGCCCAGTTCTAACTGTTGCTTCCTGACCTGCATACAGGTTTCTCAGAAGGCAGGTCAGGGGGTCTAGTGTTCCCAGGTGGGACGGTGGCTGGTACATACGCAGGTGAAGAGTCCAGTCGCACGGAGTGGGTCTCCTTGGCGAGCAGGGTCGTGGTTCCCCTGGGTTTCCTTTCAGACGGTTGCACCACAAGGTGGCAGCCCTCTGATTCCTCTTCCTCCTGATGGAAGCACATAAATGCTTCTGCATATGAAATCTTATCTCTTTCCCCTGCTCTTTTGCAAAACACTTTCAGCTGCGAGACCGTATAATAACTGAATGAGCCATTCAGGGACCATCATTCTTCTGACCCTAATATACTATGTATGAATTCCTTTGTAATAGTATAGCCAGGTTTTCTTAGTCATAGGCTCATGGATCTGTCTGTGCTCATTTATCTAATATACACCCCAAAAGGCCCTCCTTCAGGACAGACGGATTATTTACTACTTTTATGTTTGATAGCACCAAGCAGATCCAACATGGAATCAGGTCTTCTGTGTAACAGGAGGATCAATAAAAAAGATTGGCCACTAAATGATCACTGACTTT